GGGCATGCTGTGTCTGGGGTATGGGAAATCCTGGTATGAAGGGCATGGTGGGCAGAGGGCCCCGCTGGAGCTGTCAGTCATACACATGTGGATCCTTCTTCCCCTTCCTGCTCATCTTGATGTGACAACCAAGCACATAGTAGACACTTAGTAAAAACTAGACACACACAGTAAGGGCTCCGAGTGGGAAGAGGAGGGAGAAACATGGCCTTTGTGACATACAGCCGGAGCCAGGATAAGTGCATAAATGCAGAGGCATCATCTCAGCCCTCACAGCAAGCCTGTGGTTTGTGCATTTCAGGGAAACCGAGGCACAGAGAGACCTCATGAACTGCTGCAGGTTAAATAGCTGCTAAGCGGCAGAGACAGAATTGGATTTAAGTCAGTCGGACCCTGAAGCCCAGCTCTTGGCCACTCTGCCACACTGCCTTGTAGACCAGACCATGCCTGCCCCTTACCAGCACACAAACACTGTGACGGGAGGCAGGATGTTGGGGGTCATAATCCACGGTGCAATCCGGAACGTCACAGTGTCTGTGAAGATGGGTGTCAATGGGATGCCCTGGGTGTGGGAGAGAAGAGGAGCATCAGTGAGCCACATTGGGGTACCTGTGGTCCCCGCTTCCCTCTCGGTGGGTGAGACCAACGACAGTGCATTTACTGGGCACTTACTGTATGCTGAGAACGGTGCCAAGTATTGTTTCTATGTGCATGTACAGGTCTATGTTTCTCTCTCTCTCTCTCTCTCTCTCTGTGTGTGTGTGTGTGTGTGTGTGTGTGTGTGATGCCCATGATGGCTAGAAGAGGGCATCAGATTCCCCTAGAGCCAGAGTTACAAGCAGTTGTGAGCAGCTCAGTGCCAATCATGTGGTTGCTGGGGGAATGAAATTCACACTTCTGAAAGAGCAGCAAGTGCTCTTAATTGCCGAGCCATCTCTCCAGTTCCATATACCAAGTATTTTTGCCTGTACCAATTTATTCCCAGGGGAAAGAAGCTACTATAATTCTTACTTTTCAGATGGGGGAACTAGCACCTGTAGAGGCCTTGCACCTATCCTGCACGCACACTTTGCCCCATCATAGTTACCAGGTCTGGGCTAGGGGTATTGTTACACAGGGCACAGGGGAGGCATGTGGCTCTCACCTCAGCCATATACTCCAGCAGACTGACGTGGATGGAAACCAGGCCCGAGAAACTCTCGTCGGGGAAGCGGAGGCCTTCCACGAAGAACAGCAGCTCCGCGGAGCCACCCGTGTACTTCACCACGTGGAAGAGCTTCTGCCGGCCCAGGATGTGGATGTAGCGTTGGCCGAAGAAGGGGTCTGTAGGGGATGGACCCACGTTAGAACTCCCTCCCATCAGGAGGTCAGGGAGCTGAGGGGAACGGGCAGAGTGACTGGTCCTTTAGACACAGAGAGATGCGCCATGAGAAACGGCACATGATGGTGCACACTGGCCATTGTCATAGTCTGGGCACATTGTGTGCCAGCTGGCTTCCGGCTTCCTCATCTGGAAAACGAGCTGCCTGGGGAATGAGGGCAGACGGGATGGCATGGCTAGCATTGCAATAGGGAGGTGTTAGTCCCATTTTACAGAGGAGGAAACGAACTCAGAAAGCAGAGGTGGCTGGGCAGGACCAATAAGTCACATCTAATTCCAAATGCCAAGCTCCTATTCTTTTTGTATGAATGAAACACGAGTGTGCCATTTGTTTGAGAAATTTTCCTCTGTATCAGGGAAGCTCCACTGTGTGGATCTTGGGCGGGAAGGAAGGCGCTCCAGCCTCATGAAACCGCCAACCCTTTACAGTGATCTCCCCTCTGCCTGGAAGACCGGCGTCCTCAACCCTTCCGGGAGTCCTTTGTAGATTCCTAGAGAGCAAGCCAGGGTCCATTCCACATCGCAGCCTGTACAGAATACATGCTGCCAGGGTGAGAGACGGCTCTGCCAGGCCATCTGCCTGTCTGGCACATAGTCATGTTTAATAAACGTTTGTTGAATGAAGCAATGACTTCCATCAGTACCTGTAGGAGAGGCCCATGGGGGATTTCAGGGCTGGTTCAGAGTTCATGAATTGAATTACTTAGGCCAGCATGAGCAAAGACCGTCAGGAAGCCAAAGGCCACGAGGCAGCCTCTGTGTCTAAGTGATGCTCAGTGGTGATCAGACAGCGGATGTGGGGAGCATCTAAGGGCACTGTCACGGTGGAGAGCTTGTCCGTTACTCAGGGAGGGGAAGGGCAGGGAGGCAGGGAAGACTTCTGAGCAGAAGGAAGTGACTTTGAGATGCTCTTGTGGGGCAGCAGGGTGCCTGCGAGGATGCGGAGGGAAAGAGATACTTGCATTGGCAAAGGCCTGGAGATAGGCCCCTACACAGTTCCACAAGCAGCTTCTTTAGGCCCTGCAAAGCTGGAAGGGCAAATCAGGCTCAGTTTAGCGCTTTCAATGACAGTACATCAGCTAGTGACCGGCTGCCCAAGGGTTAGAACATGAATTGGGACCATTCCCAGTCCACAACGCTAAAATCTGTCAAGTTCAATATACCCCAAAATGCAGGCTTGAGACAGCATCTGCTTTAGGACAGGGTGCTCACCTGGACCCTGATTATGAATGGCACCATGAACAGGTGACCTTTTTGTCTTCCCAACTCAGAGGGACCTTAGGCTAGGCATCTTCCAGACTTGACAAGTTACAAACTTTCTGTGAACTCTGTTGATCTCTCAATCAGGTCACTCAATTGCTAACTTGGGGACAGAGGGGATATGGCAGACAGAGGTGGGTCTGGTGGGAGGATGCGTTCTGTGCCGTGGCTGGCAGCTGGTGGCTTTCTCCTCCCCTTGAAGCCTACGCCTTGTGATTCACAATGTGTCCCTATTTGTTGCTGCTTTCTGGCAGTTAGTGCCAGCGCCAGGCGGATTGAATCTCACTGGGAAACAACACAGCCCTTGTTTCAAAGAACTCCCATCGCTGTTCACGGTCCCTAGCTTGGTGCAGAGCCTGCCACCCTCGGTATGGCTGGCTGTCCCTGCAGACACCAACGATGCATGTCTATTGAGTGGCCTTGTGCTGGACCTGCCAGCCCCCCCTGGCCTCTCCTGAGCTTCGGTCATCTGCCCTGGATGCCCAGCACATGGCCTGATTTGGCACAACCTTTCCAGTTGCAAATAGTGTGACTGTCTGTCTTGGCTTGCCTGTGATGGAAGGGTGTCTTGGCATAACAGACCTTCCATGCTAAAAAATCAGGGAGGTTCCGGACAAATGGGGACACGTTGTTTACTGTGTCCTTGGAGGAAAAGGTGAGTCCCCAGTTTTGGGGGTTCTAGGAAGACTTGAGATTGGAAAGCAAGTTTCTAGGTCCTCCAAGGAGCACTGAAGATTTATGTCATAATAATCACCAGTTCATATAATTCCAATCAATAAATAGCTACTGTTGTACAGAGCTTTCCATGGGCCAGTGTGACAGTGGGGACCCCACTGCGGTCCATGCCACCCCACAGAGAAGGCCCTCCGGGATCCCGGAGCCTGGCTCCTGACCTTGTGGGGAACTGGACTGTCTCTCCTAGGACACAGGTCAGGACACTGAAGCAACATGACACATTACACACAAGGTACTCAGATTCTGACAGAATTCCCCCATAGGCTCATATGGAAGAAAAGGATATTGGACCAAAGAATAAGATTAACTGTCCCTTTTGCTGGGTCCTTGAGACTCAGAGTATTCTCCTGTGAGATTGTCTGTTTGATAGAATGTAGACTCACTTGAGAAGGGAAGTCTCAGTGAGGAACTGTCCAGATCAGGTTGGCCTGTGAAGGTTATTTTTAACTGGTTGACTGAGGTGAGTTAATGTGGTGGTACCATTTCATGGACTGGACCCTGCACGGAATGAAATGAAAAAGAGCCAAGCTGCCAAGCTGGCTTCCCTGCCATGATGGACAGTAACCTGGAGCTGTGGGATTAAGGAAGCCCTTTCTCTTCTAAGTTGTTTCTGCCAGAGTACCTTATTAGAATAAGCAGGACATGCAAGTAAGACACCTGCAGACTGGGGAGGCAGACCCAGGAGCCATCCTCCCTGTGGGATGGTGGCCCAGCTAAGATATCTAGGGGGACACTCTCTACCCGCTCTCAGCAGGAGCTTTTTCTTGTCTGCTCAGGACCCAGTGAAGTGGAGAGGTTAGAATGGACCCAGGTCTGGGTATACTCCAGTTATCAAAATAAAGAAACATCTAGAGAACGCCCAGATGTCGATATTAGCCACAAGTCAATGCCCAGGCTGGGTCAAAGCCCCAATTGGGTCTTCCTGGTCCCCTCCTGTCACATGGAGACTCTCAGCTGGACCATGCAAACACCAGCTTCTCAGCCCCCTGGGGCAGCGGAGCCAGCCTGACTTCAACCATCTGTCAGAGCCCAGAGAGGAAGCATCTTAGGTCTGTCCACCAGTGTCCCAGCCAAGTCCCTCCTGGAGGTTAGGGTCCTGCATAGTGACTGCCTGTTTCCAGTGGTTCTGTCCAGAATGGGTCCCACGGGGTGGCCCAAGGCTCAGGCCTCCAGACAGAAGGCCTCATAACACCTGACAAACTGCAAGATGCTTCACAGAAGCCTCTTTGTATGGGCAGAAGATTTGAACAGTTCTGCCCACAACCCTCTGGGGCTGGGGGTGTGGCTCAGGCGGAGAGTGCCTGCCCACCATGTACCAGACTCTGGTTTGGTCCTCAGCACCACATTCTGGAGCATGAGGGTGGTGCTTGGCTGTAATCTCAACACTTGGGCAGTGGCTGCAGAAGGGTCACATGGTCAAGGTCACCCTCCCTTCCCCACAGAATGAGTTAGAGACCAGGAATTCGGTCTCAACAAACAAACAAAAACAAAACCCCTGGGGTGACCCTCCGCTGTGCTAAGAGTAAAACGCAAACCCCATCTTCGCTCTGACCCTCCCAGCTTTGTTGGCTGACTCTCTAAGCACAGCCCCTTCCCAGGCCTAGTCTTTCTGCTTCTCTAAAGCATCGACCCAGTCCCCTCTTCTAAGCCTGCTGTACACTGTGCCCACGCCTTAGCTTGTTCCTCCCCATCTCCTCTCCAGCTCCTCCACAGCCCCTCTCGAGCCCCTCTCCAGCTCCTCCTAGCCCCTCCCCAGCTCCTTCCCAGCTCCTCCCCAGCTCCCCCCAGCTCCTCCTCAGCCCCTTCCCAGATCCTGCCCAACCCCTCCCCAACCCCTCCCCAGCCCCTCCACAGCTCCTCCCAGCCTCTCTCCAGTCCCTCCCCAGCTCCTCCCCAGCCCCTCCCCAGCTCCTCCCCAGCTCCTTCTCATGGTTTCCTTAGAGTCTCATCTCTAATGTCACTCCCCAGAGAGGCCTCTCAGGACCAAGTAGGCACCTCAGTCTCTGTGCTAAAGCTCCCTGGGACCTTTTTTCTGACATGTCTTCCTCACTCAGGGGTGGCTCCTCCAGGGCAGAGTGGGTGAGGGGACAGCTATGTTTACTGTATTGGCACCCAGGTGGCTCTATGGCACAAGCAACATAGTGGCATCTAGGACACCCTGTCACCTCCAGGAGGAAGAAGGGCAGCTGTGGCACCATCTCCAGGGACCTTTGAAAGTCAGAAGTGCCAGACAATACCTGGAGGAAGTGTATATCTGGCCTCAGGTATCACGAAGGCAACAGGACTCTGACTTCAAAGGCCCTTTCTCCCCTGGCCACTGGAGAGAAGTGGACATAGGCCATTGAATCTCCTCGGGGGAGGAGAGATGTGTATCTGTAACTCACTCTGTGGGCCCCACAGCCTGGGGCACCTATGCAGAGAGAAGGCAGTGGCCACAAGGGCTTTGGGTGGGTGGGGGACGTGACGGTCACTCACTCTCCACGTAGAACACGCCCACTTTGTCCGAGTCCGACATGGAAATATAGAGGACTATCTCGTACCCGGCGGGCAGGCGGTCGGGACCTTTGGTTCGTAGGATCATCTGAGACATGTCCTTGAGGTCTGTGGGTAGATAAAGGGGGTTAGGAGGAGGGCCCGAGGGAGCTGGACTCACCACAGCTCTTACCCTTTCCCACCAGGATGCATGCATCATGGGAACTAACCAGAAACTAAGGGAAAGGAGCTTGTCTCCTGCCTGGGAGAACTGGTCAACCCTTTGGGAATTTTCTTCTCTCTAGTCTTTTTTTCTCATATGTAGACTAGGCTGGCCTGGAACTCACTACGTAGACCAGGCTGACCTTGCACTTACAGAGATCTGCCTGCCTCATGAATGTGTGTGTATGTGTGAGTGTGTCTGTCTGTACATATGTATGCATGCCATGGTGTGT